AGATTATACAAAAAAAAAAAAAAGTAAGAAACCAACATTCAAAAATCTAACAATCCAACTAAATCATTAAATTGATTTAAATTTTAGAGTCTCAAAGAGTAAATCATTATACATATCTTTAAAATATTATCTTGAAATGTAAAATATAAGGATTGTTATATATTTTACAACAAATAAAAAATATCATTAGTTTATATTAAAATAGCATTGAAGATAAGTTTAAATTATTTACATATTTTAAATACTTTTTCATATTATCCCTTGTATTTTTTTATATGTATATATGTAACAAATTTTGAAAAAAATTGAGGGGGCCCGTGACCTCATCTAGGTCCGTCATTGATTCCAAGGATCTCTCCATTATCAATTCCTCATCCGTAAGAGTTGTAATTAACTCAATCTTTTTTTTTTAAAAAAAAAAATCCAAAGTTATGAGACAAACTCAAAGTTTCTGCATATTGATTTACAAATAAAACTTAGGCGATATCTCTCGTTCTTCTTTTTAAAAAAGAAGGACAGAACAAGCATGAACTGAGATTGTAAATTGAAAAAAAAAATGATCAAGCCAACAAATTCGTGGTTGGGCACATAAAAAGAAACTGAAGGTGGTGTGCAAACGACGATCGCTTGATCTTCTGTCCACCGGTTCGATAGACCTACAAAACAATGTCAGGGGTGATCCCAGTGTAGAGACAACAACGATTAAGTCAGAATGTGTATGAAAAAGACGATGACCGTTAATTGTGTAGTTTGTAAGTATATAAAAGAGTGTGGTGTTTTGATGATCATACCTCACTCCTTTATATGAGAGTGTTACCTTATTGCCCAAAAGTGGCTGATTGCGCTGTCCGAGTGCCCAAACTGCCCGATTCTGTTAGGTCAATTGGTCTTATTTATTTGTGGTTCTTTAAGTATTGTGTTCACATGAGTGTTCCTTGTTACATGGTCTAATCATGCGACCAGCTTGGTTTGCTCTAATCTCCCACGTATGGACTTTGTTCCATAAGTCGCAACCTTGACCTGCCTGTCTTCAGGTCGAGTTTCTACCAAGCTGATCGAGAACCCTATCTTGACCTGATAGTGAGCTTCCTTGTATGTGAGGTCATCTTTGACCTTCTGTGTCCTTGCTGTTCGATCGGCCTGCCGGTCCAGCTGAACCATTTCGTAGGTCATACTCGACTTGGTATGATATCTCATATCAGAAGGTATTTTCAAATGCCCACTTTGTTTAGATTTTTTTTTTTTCTCTGATGTGGCCTGACTGTTTTGGATGTCTTTACACATAAAAAAAATGTTTGAATTAATTGTGTTTATCCTAGGGCTACAAACGAGTCGAGCAGCTCTCGAGTCAAAGTTCGACGCGAGCTCGAGTTTGACCGAACTCGAGTCGAGCTCGAGCGGCTCGAGATACATGTAAATTACTAAAATGCCCCTTATTATATATATTAACATAGGTGCTTAATGGTAATTTTATCTTTCCACTTAAAAACTTTCGAGCTGAACTCGAGCCGAGCTCGAGCATTTTGATTTCGAGTCGAGCTCGAGCTATTGTAATTTTTTATCGAGTTGAGCTCGAGCCTAAAAAATCGAGCTCGAGCTCGAGCAGCTAAAAAAAATAACTCAATCCTGCTCAATAAGGCTAGTGCTCGACTCGGCTCGACTCGTTTGCAGCCCTAGTTTATCCATTATAATGAAGTCTGAATCAACAATGACTATCTAGGTAATCAAGTTGGTGATACTTTAATTAGTGAAGTTTGCAGTTATGATAAACGCAAAGGAAACTCGTATTCAAATTATTTAGATATGAGGTATCAAGTCAAGGAAGTTATCTACTTATGAGTATAGATGATGATATAGCAACCTTAGTTCTACATTGTATTGAAGTCAAGAGAACTGTGTAAAACTGTTTTTTTTTTTTTTTTT